CATTTGTTTTAAACGACTTTCGCGCAGTGCGTATACCATTTCCGATCGAGGTACATTTTATTTCGTTGAACAAAGATAATTGTATCAGTACTCCCTCGATAGGTTTATATGACTGCGAACTTGCGTTTCTCAGCAGTTTTCAACGCGATGGTCATGCGACGTGTTGTGACACCTTTATGTGACCACGCCGGTGGGCCTTATTTTCTAAAACGGCTGAAAGTCAGCGCTGTTTGTGCCTGCACCTTCTCCGTCCGTGTCGTTTTCTCGCGCTGCTTTTACGCTTGTTCTGTTCACTGTAGTGACGCCGGTCGCTGACGAATTGAAAACTATGCACCGCTCGTTTTGACCAGGCATGACGATCAGGAGCACGCTGGCGTGCGTGCCCAGAGATCGGTGTGCGTACCTGCATGATCGACGCCGGCCGCGACTTGTCGATCAGTTCAATGACGCGGCCGGCAGGTGCTTTCGCAGTTCAGTCGTCGCGAGGCCATTTTCACAAAGAGTTTGCGGTCCAAATCGAAGCCCATACTGTTCGTAGCTCGCGAAAATTGGGATATTTATACGTGCGAACACTGCCAGACGCGCCTTCACGACCAGCTGTCAGCTGATGAATAGATGGATATTGGCTACACACTTTGTAACGGGCGGTAGCTTGCGCCACCTAGCCCAGTTTGAATTCTTTTCTTAAATTTTGCACTAAATGTTTTCTCTCGTTAATGCACCTAAAACCCCAATTTCGGGCAACATCACAGCTTCCCTAGGCCTTTCCCGCCAATCTTCCTACCTTCTTTTATTGAGGAGTTTCAGCGACGGTGTCACCGCCCTGGCGGCCGGTCGCCGAATGAGAAAGAGGGTGATAGACTTGCTGGGCGTTGGGTTTGTGTAAAGGGTGTTGGCCACGACCGTAGGATTATGAATTTCGGCAGCAAGAATATTACGCGGCTCTGGTGTTCCGGTACGAGCAACAGAGGTGGCGCGATCTGCTACGACTAGCTACGACCACCCACCGCAGCAATGCAGGCATCGAAGGAGCGCAACGACGCAACCTTTGTGCTACGCAGTCAGTCACCGTCACCCGACGCTGCTCGTTTTGCATTCAGGGCTTTCCGCCCCGGGTTCTTCGTTTGTACTTGGAACCGAGTGTTATTTCCTGTGCTTGTGTGTGTGCACAGTGACTAGATATGTACCTCATAGAGCAGTTCTTCAGGCTCAACAGCGACTCAAAGTTGACGGCGGAGGGACTTGCAGCAAGGCTTTCGGTTGGCAGGTGACGACTACACGGATAAATTTCAAGATTGCTGCAAGGTGGGCCGTAGTCGCTTTATGTTGAAACGATTTTTTTAAGTGTAAGTACTCCGTGCAAAGGCGAATCTATCAAGTTCTAATTAATCTTTGTTTTTGTTTTGATCATGCACGACCGACTGCTAAGCAGATGCTTCTGTACCGATCACGGAGTGAGTGTCTTCGCCCTTACATTGCATAACATTCAATATAAAGTCATGTTTGTTTAGCGAGAAAACTTCCCTTTCATGTGACCTCTTTTTTATTAATAATTTCTCTCGTATCTACGTGCTTTACTCAACAGGATCGATTAGGTTTGCTTCCCTAGTTAAAACATTTTGCTGCCACATGCGGCACTAATGCTTGACACGATGTATGCACTGGTGGTATTGTGAATTGGTTTGCTTTCAAAGCTAAAAGTGTAACAGGTGGGACCATTCAGTTCGCTAAAAATGTGCCGATATGGAAATTTCGTTGCATAACTAGCGTTTCACATTTAAGATTGATAAGAAACATCTTTATGTGGTGATGCTTGTCTACAGCATAAGTTTCGCAGATCCAGAATGGGTGTGCTATATGCTACAGCCTCAAGGTTTTTAATGGGCCAAAATGGTGATTACACGGCAATAAATATTGTGGTGGAAAACTGACGATTGACTCGGTGGGTTTGGTAGTGCCCATTGGTATGCTGTTGGCAAATTAGGTGATGACACTCCTTTTCCCTGACCATGTGGCTTTAAGGGCCATTGCATCTAGACCTGCTTAAATATATTTATTTCAAGGTTCAGTTGACCCCTCTGCATCATTACAGAATGGCAGTCTACCGCCACAACAAACAGCAGTGAATATACAACGCATAATAACAGGCACCAGTGTCCATGCGTATGGTCCGCAAAAAACAATTTGAGCCTAAAATTTTTTGTTTTGTTTAGATAGTTTGCATTTGTTGTATAATCCGCAGGGCCTGATTTCCGCACCCAGTGTATAGTCCGTCAAGCTGGTGAATTGTGTCTTCGTGCTTTTTTTCCTGGGTGGCATTTTTTCAGACGTTCTTCGGCGACCACTGTAGAACCTGAAGAACTGCTCCATGAGGCCCAAATCCAGCCACTGAGCACACACACAAGCACAAAAAATAACACTCTGTGCCAAGTACAAACGAAGAACATGGGCGGAAAGCCCTGTATACCAAACAAGCAGCGTCGGGTGACGACGACTGACTGCATAGTACACAGATTGCGCTCCTTCGACGCCTGCATCGCTGCGGTGGGTGGTCATAGCTAGTCGTAGCGAGATGATCATCACTTCAAGCAAGACCTACCGTGATGCTACAAATGAAGTGTTAAAGCCAATCGAAGACACGGAATCTTGCCACAGTCAAGATATGTGTGCAAGTGTTCGACATGGGCTCTCTCACGCTAGTGCAGATGTCGTCAAGCAAGCTACATATCAACAATGTTTGCACGTTGAGGCTGAAACTATGATGCATACTTTATCTAAACCTAAATTTATCGGTCTGCGGCCTCAAACATTTTTGTTGACATTGCTTAGATGATGTAACCATTCAGGCCTCGCGTTAAACGGTGTTTCGAACTTTCGGGTGTTCTGGTTAGTTGTGCTGAAAAGCAGTTGGATGGAAAGTATGACAGCTACAGCATACAAGGGATGATCGGGGTCTTTATTCTGCTTTTTGTGTGCATGGACACCGGTGCCTGTTTTGGATGACGTAATGACAGTTGCAGCAGGTGTGCGTCACTTCGGTATCCTACTTCTCGACCGCGACTCGACTGCTTCGTTGAGAAACTGTCTTCGGAAGACTTACCTCCCTTCAGTCTCACCCGAGAACCTCTCGGTGGATGAATGGAGCTTCATGCCGGTCTACATGAAAACGAGGGTGACCAACATACAGGAGAACTATGATTTTCTTCTACAAATGGGCGAGTGTAGCAGACTCGCTGAAACCAGCGCGTCTGCGAATTCAGAGAAAGGGTTGTTTATAATCTAACCTATACAAAGCAACTTTTTGTCAAAATAACGGGATAACCCCGGTACAAATACTGTGGTGGACTTCCCTGACCCCGCGACTCTGTCAGACTTGTCTAGAAGTTATATTTAACCTTCACATAACTAGATGTTTACCCACTCTGTAAACAACAGCGTACATTTGAATAACAGAGACCTAAAATTATTAAACCAATACTATCTGTCATGTTTCTAAGACTCGGTTATGCGTTTGTGTATGAAAACCTAATTTTGCCCTAATAAAATACATTTTCAAAAGGACATTGGTCTTCTGCTGATACATATCTTCCAATTAAAATGCAGAGGCAAAAAGAAAATCAACTTTGTGCATCTACCACTTAGCATGAGCACCTTTTGCTATTCATTTTTGAGCACACTCAAATATCAGCCTAAATGTTTTTCGTTTTAGCTTCCCTACTGAAAAAAAACATATGAATTTTCCATACGGGTCTTCATATAGCGTTATGGGATACGGGTCATACGGTTGGTACGGGTCATACGGTTGGTACGGGTCATATGGTTGGTACGGTTCATATGGTTGATATGGCTTGTATGGTCCATATGGTTTGTACGGTCCATATGGTTTGTATGGTCTATGGTTGTTATGGATGATATTGTTCATGCAGTTTAAATCGTTGATATGATCTATAGGCCAACGCACTATTTACCAACAAGCCCTCACGAGGTGTGAACAAATTCAGTTTCCACACGAGGTGCGGGCACTGCGTGTGCGCAAGAACGACATTCACGTGACGTAAAGCGTCTGGACATGCGCCCTAACAGTAGCAGCGCCACCGTAGCGACGTGACGTCAGGGTCGCGTATTGGTGTATATCAATCGTGTTAACCACATGGTTCACTCATCAGTGAAACATGAAGTTTAGCAGGGAAACACTTTCCTTTTAAAGCCTATGCTAGATAGCAGAAAGTGCATGCACAGAGAAATGCTCAAACTTCGAGAAATTGTGAAGATGCATTCCACCCGCAGGCTCGTTTATTTGTCCTCCAGTCTCAGGCTTTGAAGCAGCTCGTGCATGTTAATGATGCAATTCTTTGAGGCGAGCTGCATCTGCTTTCCCAGTTGGTCACAGGCCGACGCACCTCCGACGGGCGTCTGAAAGTAATGTAAACAAAACCGACAGTCACCATTACATGTTCTCGTAAAATAGTTTGTACAGTATCTATCTAGTCAGTAAACCCTTTTCAAAAGTCTATCAAGCAACAATGGCGGTCAGCACTGCTTGCTCACGAAGTGCGTGACTGGATCTGAGTTCTCGCTGAAGGCTGCGCTGACGCAGGGCTCGCTTTCAGTATATGCTCAGAGTATGTGAGCAAGCAATGGCGGACAGGCATTCGCACTGACGTTGGAAAAGGGTCTATTGACTTAAATTTTATGACTGACCTAATATTTAAAATCATCTACCTTCTGCAACTTTCACATTTTAAACAATCACAAGCATCTATCAAGGCAATACATCACCGCATGGCAGAAAATACATAACATACAACTTTCGTCAACTTACATAGCATACAACTTTCGTCACCACGGGACGTCTCTGCAGTCTCCCGGGACGCGGACCTCCCATGTGGTCACACCCCGGTCCAAGCATCCCTCTCGTCCCGTTTCCCAGAAGAACGCAGGAACAGGCAGCTGTCCCGATCGTACGCCGAGACCCAAACGTCTCCACTTGTCTTCATCGTCCGTTAGCACCCGGTCCGAAGGCCGAGGAAGCGGGCCTCTGTTTCTCAGCGGGGTGTCAGGGGGGTCAGCTCCCGCTCGGCGTCACTCGGAAGCTGCACCCCACACACGCCGCGTCGGTCGGCATGTTCGGCGGCGCCAGAATGCCGAGCCCGAGACTCTGGTCAGTCGATGGGAGGTCGATGGCGCTGCCAGGAAGCCGAACCTGCTCTCTGGGTGGCCGATCATAACAGCATGCATCCACCAGGTGCACAATGAAAGTCGTTTATTTAGCTTTAGATTAGTTTTTTGTGCTTTTCAACGGAAGACTGATGTTTTTGAGGTTAGGGTGCAACATGCAACACATTAAAGCTAGAAAATGAGCTTTGAAATTTCGTTTCCCTACCCCTTTCATGGAAGTGTAGCCACATAATCTTAGTATGGTATAATTAATAAATTATTTTATTCATAAACAGGAACTCTTAGTTAAGTAAATTATCCCTGCAGTCCATTAAGCACAAATTTTAGTTTAGACTAGACAAATGTAAGCCAGAAACACTCAAATCCTGGAATTCATAAGGAAATAACTTTATTTCTGCTTACTGTAGACTTATTTTTTGCGGGCTCCATATTTCGCAATTAAGGTCGAAGCTGAAGTTTTGAAATAATTTCTGGGTTCTAATTTTCGCGACGCAGTGGGATCTCCATATAGATTCCAATGTGTTTACACTCTACCGGAATTGTTTATGGGACCTACTTTTTCAGCAATTGTAGGCGATTCGTAAAAACGATTCGACAGCAATCTCAACCATGCGATTCGACAGCAACCTCAACCATGGGGTTGCTGTCACGTGCCTTGCTTCGACGCTCTTATTGGGTCGGGAAGGCCGCAGCCTCCACAGCTCGTCAAGTTATCGTGAAACACAGAGTATAGTTGCTGCACTCGGAATAAGGGTAAAGGATCGGAAACTCAACATGCCCAGCACCTGGAAGAAGGCATAGGACATACACTTCGCGGTTAAATGGATACTGAACCGAAATTTTCAACTCACAAAACAAGGCTGGACAGATAGGCGGGACGGAGCAAGACCCAAAAACATCACTCATACAGCAATATCTAACGGATCGCCATATTTTTAGAAAAGAACTGCCCGGCCGAGGAGGCCGACGAGACAAGGCACGTCACGAATTCATTTTCTCTCCTCCTCGCTACGTCCCGTGTCAAGCTGTTGAACCGATGCGAGGAGGAGAGAAGCGAGGCCGCTTCCCCTCATTCTCAAATTCTCCCGGAGGACAGTGATGTCAAAGACCTCGCTTGATCGTGCCCTTCTTTTCCAAAAGTGCAGCGATCTGTTTAGATATCGATGAACGAGTAATGTTTTGTAGTTCGTAGAGTCCTGTTCAACGCTTCTAGAGCCTTATTTCGCGAAATTCAAATTTCGGTTCAGTATCCCTTTAACAAGCCACACGCCAGATAAGGTGCTCCATCTGTGTTGAATGGTTCCAGAAATCTATCGATGCCCTTGCACCAGCGGAGTTGAATCGTTCATTATGAAAAGCAAACCAACAAAACTGCAAGATGTTCGGCAAAAATAGGTTACAGCCTGTGCTTTTGATTTGGGACTTCAGAGAGATGAGCTTAATTCTCTGGAAATTAGAAACTACGTATATTCTGAAAGAATTGCTGTTGTGCATTTCAAGGTTGTCTCGTTAAAATAAAAATATAAATACCAGAAAAACGTACTAACCTGTTATGCACCTTTGAAGTCTTGTTTTGGCTAGCAGTGACTGGCCCTGGTTAGCAATGACTCCATGTCCCCAGGATTGAAACGATGGTTAAGTAATGTCGACCCCTTATGCACTTTTTGGTACAACTGGAAGAGACAAAACATCTTGTTAATCCTTTTCACGTGCGAATTTTGCAGTTCATGCTTCCTGAGAGTCATTTCCCACAATAGTGTTAAATTAGAACAATGAGAGCAAAGTTGTTTCAGTAAAGGGCCCCTGAAAAGAAAAACAAAATGTTTTTTTTTAAACAGTCTGGTTGGGACACACGTGTCAAATAATTATTTTACGTGAAAAAAAAATTGGTCAGAGCAATATTGACAGCGCGAGACGCAATTTAGTCGGTAGTCATCTCCTTTCCACCTGTTTCCTCTGGGCACTTCGAGCGAGTGGAGGAGAAGGGGATCAGCTTCGCCTTCGTGTTGAGGTGGCGAGAGCGAATGACCATTCAAGGACGTCATGGACTTTGCGCGCAGAATTTAAAATAAATCTCTCGCCGTCAATATTGCTCTAAAAAATTAATTATTTTCGCATCAAATGTATTTTTTGGCACGAGTGTCCTTATCAGACTGTTCAAAAAACTTTTTTTTTTCAGGGGCCCTTTAAGAGGTGTTTGCCTGATATGCATCAGTGGAATCAGGTATTGACTAGCCATGACTTATTGCCCCCAGGACTGAAGTGCTGTTTCAGTAAAGTGCCGTTCACACTCTTGTGACCGAGTAAGACTGAGAGAGACCAGACCGGTTTTTAAGCCTTTTGCGAGTTCTTAGGACGGGATGCGCCAGAACGCAGCTGGTCCTAAGAGATTGCAAGAGGCTTGAAAACCGGTCTCGTCTCTCACGGTCGTACTCGGTTGCAAGAGTGTTAACGGGCCTTAATGCTTCCTGCACAAAAAATTCAAATGTAAAAACACAAGCCCAAAAATCTTTGTGCCATTCTCCTCCCCCTACTTTTTTTCTGTGCATTTATTTTTTTCATCCCTTGGCAAATCCTCAAGATTTCAAAATGCTTATCCTACATCCTTCCGTTAGACTGAGTGGGTAACCCGGAGAATTCATTGTTTGTGAGGACACTTTTCCATTCATCCCATGCTGCTCTTAAAGGCAGAAACTGCTCTCTCTTAACCACAGTCATTAAGCACTTTTCATAGACCATACACACAAGGTTGGCAATGCTAGCACAAGCTCATGTCTTCACTTTGAGCATGGATTAAGCATATATAACTAAATCTGAGACACCGGAAGAAGGAAAAAGGACACAAAAAAGAGGACGACACACATAATGTCTCGAACACAGCTGCAGGTTCATACTAAAACCCCACCATTTTATAAAGGTACACCGCAGTCAATGCCAAGAACCCTCACACTAAGTCACACCCCCAGATTGTCAGCAAGGGCGAAAAAAGAACTACCCTCAACGTTCCCACACTTGCCAAAGTCAACCCACCGACTAAGAAGTAAAAAAAAATGCAGCTGTGGTTGAGACGTGTTGTGTTTGATGTTCTCTTTTTCGCGTCCTTCTTCCGGTGTCTCAGGTTTAGTTATGTATGCAATTCACCACCCTTGCCTGTACTTTTACTCTTCTCTCAATTAAGCATACGCCTGCAATTCGTAATATCTGATCTATGGAAAGTCTCTGTTCCACCAAGCCTTTTCCATTATGAGCAGGCATTATTTATAAAAACCTCCTTTTATTACATTGTTTCAGAGAACAATTGTTCTTTCTTAATTAGGATCAACTGATCATATTAGGATAATTGCCAAATAATGGCAAATTCACATGATACATTCAATTGCAATTTTCATCCGTGCACCATTTGTCAAGTTACCATCATGTAGGCTATTCCTGCGATTTGTCCCTCGTCTGCGGACACCCATACTGAAAGGGCAGAGTGCCTTCTTAATCGCAGATTTTTGGCAAGTGAGTAACTGGAAAAGCGTTTTTATGGTAGAGTAGCAACAGCTCACCAATATTTTTGTTTTAAAATCAGTCAAACAAAGAGGGTGGATCATTGTTTTGTCGCGCCACTCTTAAATCTCCACGCGTGAAAGAAGCTGCAACAACTTTGCCCGGCTGACACGCCACAGGTTCTGGTACTCCTTCGGGTTGGTGTCAAGAAGCTTGTCAAAACTCGCCTAGCATGCTGCAATCTTTACTGCAGATCCACCCAGTTTTCCATCCAGCAAGACCTTTCTTATGGCTTGTGCTGAAGAGTGGTGCACAAGCGAGCAGTGTGTAAAGGCATTTCCAAATGCCTCTCCGCGACCCCAGGACTTCATCGCTATGATGCTGAAGCCTCCTGAAGCAGGATCATACTTGTGTCATGTCGTTAGTAAAGCAAGTGACACTTCGCTCTAAGCCTGCCACTATGTTTTGGCCCACTTGGTATGTAACAGCGGCACACAACGATTCCTTTTCATGATAACACCGTGATCCAAGTCGCAAACATCACTTCTGCTCTTGGAAAACAGTGGCACACTGCGATGTTGGCGTTTTGCAAAATTGCAAGGCTGCGAATAGGTATAGTATGTCCTCGCTGTCGCCTGCTCGTCTCCTTTGTGTGGATGCGCTTGGGGGACTAACGTTCCATGGACGTCTTGTCACGTGATAAACCCATCCGCGGATTAGCACGTCGTGTAAATCAGCCATAGATGGACTCCGCAGTCCATCTATGGCTGATTTACACGACGTGCTAATCGTCGTGTTCGTCTGCAATCACTTAACATTTTTGTTGACGTTGCCTGCACATCATGAAAATGTGTTTCGTATCCAATTAGATATTCTCGAAGAAACAAGGAAACTGCATAATGATGTCGCACAATATTCACCTTAACCACTTAACCGGTTTTTGATTTACAATTTTTCAACCTAAATTATTTTTTTTTTTCCTTTTTTAAAGCCTGTGTGGCTTGGGTCGCACGTGCCTCCAAAATCGGTCGCCATTCGTAAAAACGTGTACAATAAAAAAATGCGTGCTGCCATCTCTCAGCTGCACCGCAAACTAAGCTCGGAACGGGCCTGGGACGTCCAAAACAGCCAAGGGGCAAGGTAGGATGCGTGGACGTGCCACACTCCTCCTAAACGCCTAGGGAACGGCTCTAGGTGGAAGAGCTAGGCTTGCTTAAAACGGTTAAAGGACACATGCAAAGGAAACGAACTTTTTTTTTAAACAGCCGGATTAGGAAAAGGAAGTCATAAAACAAATTTGCAACGAAAAAGAAAAATTTTTAGAGCTATATTTACGGCGCTAAACGAATTTGTAATTGGCGCCCGCGGGCACCGCGGAGAAGTGGCCCTTATTTATCACGTGATTGGCCGCTATTTGTCACATGGTACCGTAAAATACCGAGCAAGCGCCCACTCAAACTTAAGAGATAATCGTGAAAAAATCGGGGATGGGCCCTTCTTCGCTCATCAATTTTACAATAAATGTACTTTGTGTATTTTCTCAGATCCTACAAATTTGGGAATGGGCGCTTAGTGTGGTGTGGGCGGATGCACGGTATTCTACGGTACTTGCACTCTTTCGGATGCTTCGTATGGTCTCGAAAGGTTACTTATTCATCTTCGTTTGAAGTGCAACAAAAAACAAAGATTAATAAGTTACTTTTAGAGCCCAAAGGAAGCTCCTGAAAAAGCGCAAGCAGACGTGATAAACCTGTGCACCGGTAAGGTGACGGCGGCGGCACCCCAGAGCACACAAACTTGCACGGCGACGCCGCCGCCGCCGTGGAGAAATGCATTGGAGCGGCAGCGCACAGTGCTCAGCATGCGGCGGCAGCGTGTCTCCGCGGCTTCGGCGACACAGCGCGGCGGCTCTTACGGGCGCCAACTACAAATTCGTTTTGCGCCATAAATATAGCTCTAAAAATTGTATTTCTTCGTTGTAAATTTGTTCTAAAGCAATCTGTTTTCATCTAGGCTGTTTTAAAAAAAATGTTTTTTTTCCTTTGCATGTGTCTTTTAAGGGTTTGAGGAGCTGCAGTACCTTCCATGTCATTGAATCTTATGTAGTAGTATATGATTCTAAGTCACAAGACTAGGTTAGAGAAAGTAACAAGAAAGAGGAAGACAGGACGTCATATTGTTTCATATTCTAATTTTTTCATCAGTTCCGTATTAAAAGGTTTTCATAATAAAACTTACACTTGTATTTTATCTACACTTCTCTTTCTCACAACGTCCTGTCTGCCAAATGGACCAGCGAAGTAAACTCCCCCCCCCCCCCCCAAACATACAGACAACGCACATTAGAAATATCTGGACACAATATTCCATGAATGTATTGGGCATCTGAACCAAGCTGAAGAAAAATTTTTGGTCTGAGGAAATAAAGGGTTACAAAACTGAAAAACATGGCAGTAGCATACTTCTCACTTTAGCACGTGTAGAAGAACCGTTCATTTCTATTAGAAAGGTAGAAAAGCCAAAGGCTCAGATTACTCACCGACAGCAACTACCAGGAAAGCAGGGGGGGGGGGGGGGGGGGGGGCATGATTGTGGAGGCAGCTGGTCTCCAATGCTTGTGCCTTTCTGAAAATTGGAAGTAAGACTTTTAAAGCAAAATGACCCCAACTATTGCCACAAAACATTCTTTCATTCCATTTCTCATACCAAAAAAGTTGGTATGAGGAACTTTGCCGGGCTGACACGGTGCAGATTCTGGTATTCATCTGCGTCGAAAAGCTTCTGTCAAATCGTGTCTAGCACGACGCAAGCGCTTTGCATCTCCAATGAACCGTTCAGCCAGCACGACCTTTCTTGTAGGGGTGTCGCGAACCAGCCGACGTTCGAGTTTGACCAGGTTCGACTTTTTCCAACTTCTTGCGAAACGTTAGAAAAAGGTTTGACTGCTGTTGGCACACGCGACATGCTGGCCAGTTGACTTCGGATTGGATGGTGATGGCTAAGGGATGAATTAAGGGCAGCCCCGATTGGTTATTCCAGTTAATACAGTACAAAAAAGTAAGTTATTAACTTCTTCAGTAGTTAGAGTTAGTTTCTTTTATTTGCAACTGTTTATAAAATTAAAATAACCCTTTGAGTGAAATTTTTTTTTTGTAGACCTAGATATGCTTCTATCATGGTCTTGCCACGCTGTCCACAAAGTCGAACAAGTTAAATCTGGTTAAAAGTTTCGAAGGTTTGTCGAACCGGTTTGACACAGTCGAACCCCAAATGCTCGACCTAAAAATCCGGTTTGCCAAAAGTTTGTGGCACCCCTACTTTCTTGTGGCTGTGGTGTATTGAAGGCGCGAGCACCGAGTGAGTGAAGACGTCTTCAAATGCCCCGTGGCGAGCCCAGGACTTCGTCGCTTCTACGCCAAAGCCTCCTCAATAGGACTATGCTTGTGTTTTTGTCATGACTTCGTTTAGTAAAGCTAATGGTGCTTTGCACTAAGCCTATCATGGTGTTACGTCTCCCTCTGCACGTAACAGTGGCGCAGAGTTTTTTTTAAAGTAGAAAATGTTGATTTCGATCTCGGGCAACTCTGTCACAGTGTGATCGCACAATGTTAGAGTTTCTCAGCAGTGTGGGGCCGCGAACATGTTTGGTACGTCCTGCCTGTCGTTTGTGAGTGTGCTCCTTTGTGTGGATCAGTTCCGTCGTATGAATCAGCCATCAATGAAGAGTGCTGTTCATTTTGAACTTGATATAAATTAACTGAGCAGCACCATTTTGTAGGATGGCTAACCCGCCTAAAACCCCTTGATGTGTTTGTGTTAGTTTTCGAACTGGTGTGTAAGTGCCAGTGCACGAGGCCCGTGCAGCACTTGTAAGCAAATGGCAATATTGCCCTGAAAGGAGAGGTACTTGGAAGTGAATTCTTTGCAGCTCGGCATAAAACTATCTCGCCTCTGCCTCCTTCATAAAGTCGACTATCATTGCCCCGACCTCAAGAACTCTTTGTTATCACCTCCGGAATGAACATCATCTCGCCTCATCATCTCGTATTTCCAGTTCCACAAACGCATTCAATCAGTCTTTCCTTTCTCAAGCCATCTGCGACTGGAACAGCCTACCATCCACCATCGTAATCCCAGAAGTATTTCTAGCAAGCTTACAGAATCATTTTTCTTGTTAAAAGTATTTTATTGCCACTATGTATGATTAATGCGCTTCCTTTTCTTGTTTGTCTTGATTTGTATAACAATGGCATGTAAGTACCAGTGCACGAGTTGCACACTGCACGAATCCTGACCGGGCTCTTAAGGTGAAAATAAATTAAATGAAATGATTGGCAACACAGCACTCACTCGTGGCACGTGTCTCTCGCATTCGCACAATAAAGGCTGAACCGCATGTAAGCGGTTTAGCAAGCAACGAGACGAGCAACTGAGACTTGTCACTGTCGCTCGGTTTTTGGATTTTTAGAAAATGTCGCTCAATGACTTGATCGCTTGCTCCCGTCGCTTTCAAGCGATTTACCTTGTCACGAGACTGACTGAGTGATAGCAAAATGGTTGCCATCGCTCGTCTCTTCGCTCGCTCAATCGCTTACACGTAATTTATACTTTATGACTGTTGGCGCTTGCACAAATGTAAAGCGTGAATTTTATCAAAGGTTTTGTTCTTGCTGACTCTCAGACTGCTGCGAAAACGTTGGGTTCCAGTGAAATAAGACCACATGATTTCTCACTTTGCTTATGAACTGAGGAGGAAAGCTGAAGAGGCAGTAGCTTGAAAATCAGCTGATGGTCGCCACAAGTTGTTTGGGACACCTTTTTTTTTCTGTTTTCTTTGGCACTACTCAATGCGCGTTTTTTTTTTCTCCCGACCTTCACAATAAAGTATTGCCAGAGGGTTAGTAAATGAGCGCTACATATACAGCACTTTGTATAAAAAGTCCGTGCCACAGTCGAAAAATAACTCCTTATACTCGTCGCAAGCAACGTAACCAATACAGACGGTACTTCCAAAGGCGCAGGTCACGCAATATTTCGAGTAGTTTCCGAGGACAAAAATTGAACTTGGATCCGACCTCCCACAGTGGAAACAAACGGGGTGCAAATATGAGCGCTAGGACGCAAACTGGTACCTTCAGCAGTCATGGGTTCCGCAAAACACACCGCCTAGCTAGGTGGTACCAAGCCGCCACCCGATTTGCAGAACTCAAGCCTTGAACACCGATCTACGAGATAAAGCTCCCCGATCACTCACCAAGCGGCTCGCTCGGCGCCCCACGCCCCCGTGGGACCTTGCCTCTGGGTCCGTTCCTGCCATTTGACTGCTCGCTCAGTGACAGGTCGGTTCCGGTACTTCCTTGGAAAAAGCTCGAGGGTCATCCAATGCGCAAAGAATGTGTGCGACAAGGAACCGCACACGTCCGCTTTCACGCTGCCTGCACACACAAGAACACGCCATACACGCTCCGAAAAGAAAGGGCTGGAAAAGTACTCACCAAGTAGACTCAAACCCACAGCTGGCTCTATGGGCACGCCGGCACCGGGGACACTTTGTTTCCCCAAGGACGTTCTTCGATGTTTTTCCGTAAGCCTAAAAGCCTGAAACCGCCCGAAATACGGTGGCCCGAGAGTTTGCAGCTTGGTTTGTTTTTGATTTTGGTTACGATGGCGATGGCGATGCGGCGACGTTCGCTGGTTTGACGACAGGTGTTACGACGAAACTCATTTGACGCAACGTAAATGTTCCTGTTTTAATCGACTTACATTACAACTTTTAAACATAAATAAAAACTGTTTCAACATTTATATATTTATTTGTAATAAGGTATGTTGGAGCTAATTGTGTACTAAACTAAAGCTTGGCCTGGCTCAGCCTCGTTTTATTTTAACATGGCGGCGACAATCGTCTCTTTTCGTGCTCTGTGCCGTGCTGGACCTATTGGCTGGTCATTGGTTGTCCTGTTATCCACCTCTTGCGATCCGCATCAGCTGCAAGTGTGCTGTCTAAGTATTGTGTGCCTGCCGGAAAGAATATCCAGTCTTCTCGGAAGCAAGGGTGCAACTAGGGCTGCTCGGATCGTGGCTCGGACGTCGTCGACACCCACGAACCGCGTCCGCGAGCCTCACGTCGTCTGCTTGGTTCCTGCACGTTTCCGGCGTCGGATCCCCCAGCCCTGGCCTCAGGCCTACATGACCTAGCTGGTGAAAGACAATCTAGGACAACCCGGCGTCTTTGGAATGCGATTACTACGATTAGTGCCTCTTAAAAACACGGTAACCCCCCTTCAGTGGTGAGCTTTTCGATGTGAATGCTGTTACCTTCACAGTGTCCCGACGCTCCGAACGGTCATTCTACAGGTGACGCTGCGAGACGCGAGCGTTCTGTGTTGCTTCAACTCTCAGTGTGGATCTCAAAATGGGCACTTGGTCCCGAATAAGCTGCTGCACGTTTACTCACTCTCGAGACTCATCCCACGACGGTTCTAGCGGTACCTAAAACGTGGATGCACGATTCGGTTTATGGCGGTCACCTTGTCGATTGATACAGTGGAGAACACTGCTTACAGAAAGGATCGTTCTAAGAAGTGTAGAGCTGTGCTGGTCCTGGTACCTTTCCGATTACCCTTTTGGCGACGCCGTAACCTGGAGTTGGAACCTCCCACAAGCATGGCAAGGTGCTGTAATGCCGCGAGTTCTGCCCCGCCTTTCGTGAAAGCTGAGTCCTACGGCTTGATTAGCGAGTTACTGGTGCTCATTAACGCGAATTAAATGTGTGCATTCTAGAAGTCTTGAAGTTGAGTCGTTCAGAATGCAGTACATACCATGGAACTATTTCCAGTGGCCCAAATGCTGGACAGTTCCATGAGACAGTGTGCCCAGTCCAATTGTTCTCAACATATTTATTAATCGTAATAATGCCTCTCTGCAATCGACTCCACTGCTGTTACGGACAACCGGATGTTGGTGCCGCTTATCAAGTGACCCCAGAAACCACGAGGGTTTGCAGAACAACATTGAGAAGGTCTGCAATAAACATTCAGCCACATTTCTTCTCACAGCATGTCAACAATTTTGTCCAAAACGTGTGGAACGCTGAATTTTGTACTTTGCATGCCTAGTGGAACAGGCCATAACACACTTGGGTGCCTTTCACAGCCTTGGTCCTGCAACACCTAGAGTACTGCAGCTTCATACAAAACTCCTATGAGGTTTATCTTGTAAGATCAGTTGAAAGTGTTCACCAAAGGGCAACTACGTATGTTAATATTTCTTTACCTTGTATATTGTATATTGTGCTTGTGTCCTGTGTCGTATCTATATGTGGTATACACTAGATGCCATATTTGAGGTGACTGCTCGTAATGCATGAACGGCAGGGGAGGGAGAAATTATCTTCTCAACGGGGCTCTCCTTTGTGTGTTCCAGACTTGCCCAGACGTTCCTATTCTCTTTTTGAAGACTAACCTGTCACTCCAAATTCGTACAAGAGCAGCTTTTCACTCTCAGTCTTCCGTGGTGGTGCGAAATGGATGATGCGACGTCAGTGCAAGGCGTGTAGGCATGTTGGAAGCT